ACACGTGCAGCATAATTGGAGCAATTGTCGTTTTTGCACATCTAAGTGGAGGTGGGGGGGGACTTTAAAAAAAAAATTGTGTTTTATTTGTTTTGTGTGTGTACATTTTTATTTATTTTGTGAGCAATTGTTTTTTTTAAAACTTTTTTTACACTTCTTTATGGTTATAACATAGCGTGCTAAGAAGTCCCTTGTTGACAATTACAGGTCCCCTTTATTGAGACATCAGGGATCACCCAGGGACCCCCCCAAAGACGCTGATTAAGCACAGATCTGCTTCATCAGCTTCTCTCCGGTTTCTGTACCGGAGAGTGAAAGGTGGAATGCGGAAATTATGTAATATACATCACTTCCTGCATTCAGAGACCAGGAGGAGAGCGGAGGGAGATCGCGTACAGATCTCTGTCCATTCTCAGTGCACAGAGCCGCCACATCAGCCGGGAAGGAGGGACGCCCGGGATCGCAGGGACGGCGACAGCGACAAGGTGAGGGGGGCGCACCCTCACTTGCATCATACAAGCGATCGGGCGTCTTTAAAGACGCCAGACCACTTGTATGTAAACGGTCATCGCTGGTCATTTAAGATCCTGGCAGTATCCCACTCGTGCGCGACAGGGGGTGCGCACGAGCGGGCACGAAGGACGTCTTAAGACGCCCACCCGCATTCCAGGAGACTCCCGTCCAACCGTCTTTCAGCAGACGGGAGGTGGTTAAGAGTACCTGTCGCTGCCAAACTGCTATCACATGGGGGGCTTGTTAGCCCCCCATGTGATAGCAATTAAAGTAAAAAAAAAGTTGTTAAAATAAAAGTCCCACGCAGGCATGCGCGTCTTCACGTAAACACATGCTGGGTGCGCCTACATATGAAAACAGCGATCACGCTACACATTTTGGGTATCTCCATGCACGACGGAGTGAACAATAATTCCTAGGGCCAAAATTTTTTGGGTCTCTAAACGGATGCCCTGTAGTGGCTTTTAAAGCTTTGTCTATGGACTTTTTGGGGTACTGACTTTTGTCGCCTTTTCACAGACACACAATTTTTAACCTGGGCATGTTGGGTATCTATTTACTCATCGTAACCTTCTCTTTTATATTTTTGTTTTAAGCGCATTTGTAACTTAATTGTGGGGTTTGAGAAGGAGCTGCGCTAATATTGAGCAACATAAAAATGTGCAACTGCCACTATTTTATTCTATAGGGTCTTGGCTTTCAGAAAATATAGGTTTGGGGGTTTTAAGTAATTTTCAGGCCTAAAAATGTGGATTATATCATGGCTGCAAAAAAATGGAGGAAAAAAGTCTCAATCATGAAGGCGTTTAAACAGATTCACTGTCAGGATAAACATGTAAAACCAGTGGCTAGGATCTCAGAAAAACAAAAAACTATCCTTTCCAGTGATAGATCATATTGTATATCTTGTAGATTGTAGGCCCCCCTTGCCATCTTGTCTTCAATTGTATTGTGACTGTAATGTCTTCCTTATATTGTAAAGCGCTGTGCAAACTATTGGCGCTATATAAATCCTGTATAATAATAATATATTGTGCTTTGTTTTGTTTGCACACAGTGCAAGAAAATTGACACGCCAGTGTCGCCGTTTGCTACGTAGGTACTACTCTGGTCAGCTAGTTAAGGGATCCGGAACATAGGAAGGATAAAAACTGAGTACGAGAGAAAAAAAAAAAAAAGCAATTCCTGCACTAAAAGAAAACTGTCATGACACCAGAGCACGCGCGCCACGGCGCACGCTAGAACGTGCACACGCCAGCGCACGCACGCTAGAACGTGCACATGCCCAGTTCTAATGATGGCGCCAAAAAGGGCTATATAAGGCTGAGACACCCAGATCTCCCTGCTGACTGATCTTCAGCTTATACCGTGTTCCTGGATCCTGTTACGTACTGTTTCTCCTGTTACCGAATCCGGCCTGCTTGACCTTGCTCCTGCTCTGTGTTCCTGACCTCGGCTCGTCTTTGACTTCTCTTCTGCCTGCTCCCTGGATACCACGCTGCCTGCTAGTTACCGACCCGGCTCGCTTCTGACTAAAGTCCTGTCTTCTGATTTTGTACTTCGCTACCAGATTGTTGTTGACCCGGCTGGTGTTACCTTGCTTCTAGGATCATCTTACCAACCTGCACCCTGCTCAGAAACCTCAGCTACCAGTAAGCAGCTTCGACAGGAGTCGCAAACTCACCGGCACTTGTGCCCCTCCTGGTCCTCACGCACCTGTGCCTACTATCCAGAGGTGTTTGGACGGGAGCAGCAAGAGAGGCCGCCCTCGTCATCTCAGGCTCCATCTAAGGTACGTGACAACTACACAGACATTACAACACCCCACTGCCACCAGTTACACAACAAATATTAGAAAAATCATTTATTGATTACTTACAAAATGTACTTTTTAAAAGGACAAAACTGCTAAATTACAGGTTATCCTGTATTCTCTATTTACAAATAGCATTTAATAGTTTTTGTACATTATTTTACAGTCTAAAAACCACAACGCTCATTTTATATTCCAATGATTTTCATACTTTGGGGGAATAAAGACCATCAGAAAAGGTCTAAGGTATAAAGACACACAAATACCCTCACCAAGGGGGGAGGAAGAAGAGAAAAAAAAAACAAGTCACAAGCTCACACGAGACCATGTTAAATAACAATCTTAATTTAAAATGACCAACAAAACCAAAAGCTTTTCTAGTCTTATGTAGATTTCCAGTCCACACAGAAAGTACAAGGTTATAATAATTAAAAATCCACACATGTATACACACACATTTAACACTGTTAACACTCCACTATATTCCAAAAAATTAAACTGCTAATTAATGCAAGTTTTTACCATTAGGAAAGACCAGATAGCAGCTTGACTGGTACCAGACGTAAATAAATACTTCAAGGCAGCCTGTACCATGGTGGATTTACACTTTTCTATAAAGCTTCACATATTTTTATATAGGAGGAGACATTCTAGAGCCAAAAGTCTGCTAGTAAATGGAAGCCTTGCCTTAATTTCCAATTTCCATTACTTGTATAAAATACAAAAAAAAAGTTACCATTTTAGAACATCCAGATAGATCATATGAAAACAAATGGTATGAAGGGCTCTAATACAGCATTATAAAAACAAGAACCGCTCCCTCCAAAAACAACCTCCTTGGGAAATTAAAACCTTTGGCACATTTATTCTCATACCAACACTTTGTTTACCAGGCACTGTAGACTAACATCTTCATAGAATGCTTGAGCTGGGTAGTTTGTTGAAAATGCATCATTAGGTACCTGCAAACTGAGAAGTTTTCAAGAACAGTCTTCAAAATAGCTTTCCTTTGAGAAATCCTTACCTTCTAAAACAAATTACTTTGCTTTACCTACTATTTTTTTTTTTTTTTATTTTGTTTAGACACTCACCGGAGCCTGCAGATGCTTAGTTTTGAAAAACTACGGGGAGAGTGAAATGCACTCATCACCATAGTTAGAGCCGACGTGCACCACTGCAGCTGTTACACGTCGTCTATAGAGAACTGAGCGATGACCGATCAGATCATGATTTCCCTGCAGAAAGCGGTGACTGTCAAATTCTCCACTCTAATTCTACAGCACTGACGAGAGGGACAGACAAGGGGGGCAGGCAGAGGGTTTTCTTCCAACAATGTTGTGGGAATCCTTCCCAGCTGTCAATAGTCTGCTATATGCAGAGTTTTGGGTGTCAGGAGGACTTTAGTAAGTGGACCTCCTGTGACCCAAAAGAGAACGCCAAAAAGGTTTGGTCATACGTTTTTTTAAAAACATTTCAAAATTGCTCTTCGTATTTAGAGAGAATGTTATATAGCCTGATCTTGACGCTCCTTTAGCAAGATCATGCTAAAAGGCCGAGACCAGATCGGACTTTACATTGAGCCTTGATAGGGAAACACTCCCAGCTTTGCTTATATGAAGCTTAGAGCAAGCATTCTCTCAGAGGCGATCCAATACATGGCTACAAGCATGTAAGGACACCAGGTGCAGAATAAAGTTTATATTTTCCTTGCGGATTCAAGGTTTTGGCATTCTCTTGAAGCATGGTAGAAAGGTTCTCAGCTTTCAGTCCCACATTACTTAAATTCAATGTGCCACAAAGCACTAGTGTGTATAGTCTATTGACATGGGAAACACTTTGCAGGCATTTAGGTCAGAAACTAGGCTCTCAGGATTGACACCCTTACACATAGAACAAAGATGGCACAAAAATAAAAAAAAGGAGAGCCATCCAGATTCCCAGAGCAAGTGTTACATTACAAAATTCAAACAGGGATAGTCACAAAAAAGTGGAGAGTTTGGAGAAGCGAACAATGTAGGACAAAATAATAATAAAATTGTCCAGTTCAGCTATGTGGTCTTAGATCGTTCACTTCTCCAACTCTTCAACCTTTTGAGACCAACCCTGCCAGTTTGCCATTTCTGTGACGTACCTTAACCTAAAAATCTGCAGGTACGGTTAGGAGGAAAAAAAAGCACTCTGCAAAAGCCAATAAACACACCCTCCCCCAATCATACGGTGTCCTGTATTGATGTACCAGGTTGGCACAGTACCACAGTGGGGAACCAGGATCACCAGACCTGGAAGTGTTAGATGCTAAAATTCTTTGACAGCCATGCATAAGAGCAAAGATGGGCATCACCGCTTGCTGTACAGACATCAATCTTTTGCAAGGTACTTTTTTTTTTTTGCCTGCCAACAGTCACTCGAATACTTTTTAAACAAAGGCAAGGGTCGAAGTTCAAAATGTACACAAACTGGTACAGCTGTTAGAACATACATCCAAAAACAAAAAGATGTTTAACAAGCCCTCAAAGCATATGTTGATAATTCCCTTCATGTACAGAAAGGTCTTACAGGCACTTCAATTCTCCAGGTTATGAACAAAGTAGGTTATAAGGCAAGAGGACAACTGAAGTGTGGATTCAGAATGGGAAGAGTGGAAGTGTACATCTTATAATGTACTTCTGTGTAACATGCAATGTGTAATTCACCTTTGGGAAGGGTTAGGCTGGCTTCTGACATCAAATAAAAATGCACACCATATATGCAAAAATGACAGTTCATATTTATTGTGGAGTTTCTCCACAAGAACTGGGGAGAAGGTATTGTACAGGAAGGCACATACTGACTTAACCAGGCCATGTAATAATGGAAAAGAACCAAGAAAGCTAAACTCATTCAAGTTACTCATTTGTGCCTTTAGCAATCCCAGCACACCATCCTAATGCAGTGAATTTGCATAGCCTCAAGTAGTATGTAATGGAATAACTGCACTTTTTGCAGCAATTGCTGCATTATTAAATTCATGCCTTCGTTAAGGACACAGGCGATTAAGGTGTCAAGTAAGCAACCCCAGCAAGTTGATAAGATTCCACTTAGAATTCATACAGAACAAAACCATGGGCTTAAGATCACATGAGTCAACTGCACATGAAGTCTTCAAGAGATGGAAGTTTTTCTAACTCATAGGCATCAAAAAGATCGCTGATGCCCTCCTCTTCTCCAAGGCTTAGTAAATAATCCTCATGGATTAAGGGTGGGAGTAAGTTCACAAAAGGATTGTCAATGCTTAAAGGTATTTGATCCTCTGTTTGCTGCAAGAGGTTTGATGGAGAGGTCAAAGGAGATATTGCTTCCATTGTACAGTTTTCTATGTTAGGCGATAGTAAATCTGGAGGGAAAGGGGAAAAAAAACAAAACAACTTAGTACCTCACAAGGCAGTCATGGCTGCATGCCATCTTAAACATTCCAACAAGAGACAAACATACCTTTGGAGTTTGGTTTTGAGAGATTCCCATTATGGTCCTGATGGCTTTGCTTCACTGGACTACTGGATTCACTTTCCTCAGGGCATAAATACACTTCAATAGCCCCTTGAGTACTGGACAGGTGTATCTGTAAACTCTGAGGGAAACAAAAAGCAATTACACAAGCTTGAAGAAACCCCTACAAGTCACCCACAAAATTTTACAGTTCGACACAACACTAATGAATACCGGTGTATTTGCTCACCCGGAGAAAGAAAAACAAAAACAAAACACACCAAACTCTACATGGGCAACTTGGATAACTGCATAATGCAATGGAGGATAATTTCAACTCTCAACTCCGATGTACTGATTTGTATGGCTTAATGTGACTATGTTATTAAACAAATGTGTTAATTAGGACATTTTAAGAAACCTTGCCTAAGGGAAATGTGTGGCTACCGTAACCCACTTCTGAATTCCAGTACTTTTGGGATATTGATCTGAAAAAAACATGCAACCAGTGAAGTATAAACGTGTGTGTGCGTGTATATATATATATACACACACACACACACACACACACACACACACACACACACACACACACACACTTCTAGCCAAATATATATTTCTAGCCAAATATCAAAACCACCAGCATTTTCAAACAAAGGGTCGGCCCCCTTTTTTTTCACCTGGATGATTTTTTTTTTGGAGAAAGGACCAGTATGGTTTACTTAAAAAAGTATAGCATTAGGATCACCAAGGAGGTCTTCTTTAGAGGCCCAGTCGCTGCATAATTCTGTGTTGCAGTTTTAAGTTAATATTTGTTCTGTACAAGAAAGTCAAATGCATTTGAGAACCAAAACTGCTTCAGAATTTCTAAAATGTAGAAAGCCTTCAATATAAAAATCACTATACATATTAAAAGTAGAGCAAAGTCAAACAATTTTTTGTTTTCACCTCTTTTGGGGTCACAAGAGTGGATGTATATATTCCAGTGACCCAATGTCTGCAGACAGCAGGCTTATATGCTTGCCATCAGTTGACAGCGCAGAGCTGCGCCACATTTGGGAGGAATCTCGACAATATTGTCAGGCTCCATCCTGGCTGCCTGAAGGCCGTCTCTGCCTCAGCACACGGCTGAGACCTGGAGCCAGTTGAACCTACCCCATCCTATCTGTTCCTCTAGTAAACGCTGGAGGAACAGAGAGGAGAATCACTGTAGGGAGCAGCAACTGAGGGTGAAGAGACCATGAGCTGGGCAATCAACGGTTATATGAACACTAAGCTTACAATATAGGGTAGACATGGGACGGCAACAGTTGCACATGCTGGCTTTAAGCTGCGGGGAGAGTATATTTTACTTTCCTCGCACTTCTCTGAAGTGTTTCCTATACACACGGATAGGTTTTTTTTTTAGGTAACAAGTTTCATTAACCACTCTGATATGTCTCAGAATAAAACTCTTACCTCAACGGGATCAGGCACTTCAAGTCTAGTTTCAGGGGGAGCTCTCACAACAATAACTGTTTGGTCCTTAAGGCCACTGATTTTCCTTATATCTTGATAGGTTACATAGGCCAACGTAAAAAAATAAAATTAAGGAAAACAAGCACCAAAATGTATACAATAAAAAAAAAAATATACATTACTGTAAGCTGAACCACAGGCCGTTACATATACTTCTGCAATACAAAATAATGACAATGCTGTCTGGCCCACCTTGTGATCCAGGCATCCCTGCCAGCCAACAAAGTCAGTAACACCACCTGTTACTACAGTTGGACAGTATAGCTTGGTCCAATGCTAAACCCAGGCAGATAATCTAAGGGATCATCACCTGCGCTTTCCCAGACTGGAAGCATATTCAGAGATAAACCGAGCACATTACAAATATTCACATAACAGAACCCTGATTAAAAGGTGACCATACATTGTACAATTTCCGTTTGGAAATCTTAAACGAATGAGCTTGCGAATGATAATCGAACAGTTGATGGTACATCACCGATTTTTGTTTTTGATATTGTGCCCAAAAATTTCCGTCAGCTTGGAAAGTTTCCCTGACTGAACGGAAATTGATGAATCAGTGGGGTTTCTTTATTCGGCAAAAATCTCAGCAAGAACACAGCAAATTGGTTGGTTAGTAAGGCTAACAAACGATTTCCATAACAGACATTCGACTGATGGGGAAGTCTAGGTATAAATCGTTACGAGGGTTCGTGCCAGAAATGAAAATCGTACAATGTATGTTCACCTTAAATTAGAGATTAAGCCATTCAGGTACCACTACTAGCTGCATTAACCCCCACGGACTGGTTCTGAATATATTTCCTAGACAAAAAGTTGAGCTTGCACATGAATCCTTTAATGTACTTTTGTATTGAATAGCCAAGCAATTAAATGTTTTGTTTTTCGCTGGAGAGATAACTGAAAGGTCTAAAATACAAGTCACAAATGGGCAATTTATAAAAAATAAAACTAGTCACCACAAATACTGAACAAAACGGTATATCCCACAATAAAATAGACAAAAACAGATTGGTGATTATGTGCAACAGCTCCCTTATTCTCATTTCTTTATTAGCCCCCATCCCCCCTGGTACAAGAAACAATGCAGAACAAAGAATAAGCAGACTTACATGTCACTACTGCATTAGTCCAGACAAAATTGCCCCATTATCGCAAAACATAAAATTGTAGGGAGGTGGAGAAAACTACCAAGAAAGGATATCTTTGGTTCTCAGAATCCTCAGTTAGAAGTTTCAAGTCTAGGGTACAGCTCTGTATCAATTCGTCTAGTTTACTCTCTTCCTGGCTGAGTTCTGATAGCTCCTTGGATAGTCCTTGACACCGTGCCATGTTGCATCCATCATCAGGCAACGTGCAGCCCCTAAAAGGGAACATACATTTCTGTAAGACAGCCAACCTTTCATTTCTTATTAATGCCAACTGCCTGAGTACTGGAATTGACCAAAAGGAATCTATTATGTCACTTCCATTTTACTCAACACCAAGGTTTGATACATTTGTTCAGTGCCGAAAGCCTGGAGACCTGATTTTTCAATACTCTAGTAAAAGAGAACAAGGTCTCGTCACTGCCCCAGCCTGTGACTGGACAGTGAAGTAGAAGCAGCACACCGATGATCTTATCTGTCAGTGATCTCTCCTGTCAGCAGGTTTCTTTTTGGCACTGCAACACATCTTGTTTGCCAATTGCGCTGCTTTGCCCTCTAAGCTCTGCTGAACAGGGAATTGCAATAAGCTGAAAACCAAGTTCAGTTCAGACACTCATACTTGGATGCCTTTATTAATATCAATGCTTCTTTAATGAACTTCTAGCAATGTTAATTTTTCATCTCCCTAAGGTTTAGTTTAAAAAAAAAAACAAAAAAAAAAAAAACATTTATACAGACACATGCATTTCAAAAGGCTAGTAAAAGGGAATTAGGCGAGAGACCACATATCAGCACATTTGAGAGCTTATTTCTGTCACTGGCAAGATTTGTACTGAGGGCATCCTTGATCGTGTACACAAATGCTAGACCAAACATTACTCGGTTGCTATGTGAAACCAAAGTTTTCTTAGTACACAAGCTCTAAAGTGAAAACCCCCAGAATTCCTTATAGCAATGGCTTGTGAAACCTGAAAACACTCCATGAACTAGAGAGAACGAGTCCTTAGTTTTAGAAGACTAAAAACAACTTGGCTTAGAGTTTTTACACCTAAAACCTCTCAGCAATACCATGATCCTGGAGTTGTGAACTTCTTACAAACAATTTGGGTGCAAACAAGCAAGACATATGGCTTCAATGATTTATAGCATGTCTACACTGCTTCACATAAATCTTCCCTATGAACCTTTCCACAGTGTCACAACTTGGAATTAAAATACTTTCATTGGGATTTTAGGTCACAGTCCAATGCAGAATAGTCAATATTACGAGTGTTTTTTTTAAAAACTAATAAGTGAAGCCTTGTTCTCAGAAGTTAACCTCTTCACTGTGAGCCTCCTAAATAGGCTTTTGTGCCAACAGCTGCATTCAGAGGCCACAATTCCTTGAATTGAGGTCACCCGTCACATGATCTCAAATTTCTGAAAGGTTCCAAATTTTGAGAACCGGTCTAAACTTCCATCATGAAAACCAGGGAGCTAATCAAGATGGTTGCACTGCAATGGAAAGCGCAGCATTGCAGTACCGGGCATTTGGGTGCAGGCAATCGGACTGTGGGTGGGAGGTTCGTATGGGGTGTCATTCAAATTAATGACAACGCAACAGAATACAGTAGGTGCGATTGCGTGGTACAGTGCATTAATCGCATAGGATTGTGTGTGATTAACGCACTGTACTAGTGTGAGCGGACACTTTTTTTAAGATCCACACAGTCTCCCTACCATACGAGAACTAGAATGGATCCTCAGTCAGGGATCCAGTGTGGGCTGCTGTGCTGTAGCGCCATCCATATGTGCATTGTTTGCACAGTTCCCTTACTCGCCCTGTACAGGTTCTGAGAGCCAGAATGTGACGCCAGTCTAGGCACATGTGGAAGCTGAAAGCAAGGCACGTATAGATGGAGCTCCCTTATGGCCATACTTCCAGCATACCCCCACCTCAAGCTGACACGCAGGACCATATTTTGAATGGCTGCTCGGCACAGTAACTTAACAGTGCTGTTACGAGTCTCTCACCTAGGAGGAAGGCATGTTGCGACCCACTGAACATGGAGTTACGACCCACTTTTGGGTCATGACCCACCAGTTGAGAACCAAGGGTCTAGGATAGAGTCCAGAGAAGCACAAGACCAAGATGGGTTATAGAAAAAAAATTCCTTTGAATATTCTCTGTACAAGTTAGATCCATTATTTAACCACTTCAAGTCCGCGGTGTTAAACCCCCTTCCTGTCCCAGCCATTTTCCAGTATCCAGCGCTGCAGTACTTTGACATTTATTCCGTCATGCAACGCTGCATTGAAAACAAATTTGATAACATTTTTTGGGGACAGATAGAGCTTTCTTTTGGTGGTATTTAAATCACTACTGGGGTTTCTATTTTTTTTTACTATATAACAAAAAAAGTAGCCTAAATTTTGTTTAAAAAAAAACCTGTTTCCGTATGAAATGTTATGAAACATTTATCGAAATTTTTTGGTAAAATATAAAAAGACGGGGTCACATCGGGTAAACACCAAACATGTCAAGCTTTAAAATTGCGTGCGTCGACGAAATTGCAAAAAACAACCACACCCAGAATTGGCCATAGGCGACGCTTTAAAAGCTTTTACCGCCTATCAGTTTCAGGTTATCAGTAATTAATGTCCCTAAAATTATTTCTCTCATTCCGACGTTCGCAGTGATATGCAACATGTGGGAGGAGTCATCGTTTTCACACGTTGGCGCACCCGACGCATGTTTGCGTGTGTATGTGGGGGGCGGGGGACTTGTGTTATTTTACTTTTTTTTTACACTTAAGTTTATTGCCATCCCATAGGGGGCTAAGAAATCCCCTTTGTGATAGCCAATTCACATGACAGGTCATCTTTATGGAGACATCAGGGGTCTCTAAAGACCCGTCACCTAGGGACCCCTAGAGAAATCTGCTTCATCAGCTTCTCACCGGCATCTAACCGGAGAGTGACACTGAATGCAGGAAGTGATGTAACATACATCACTTCCTGCATTTGGGGACCGAGAAGAGATCAAAAGGAGATTGTGTACTTCGCTCCCTTTGATCTCCACTGACAGCGTTGCCGTACCGGTCCCAGCGGATCTCGCGACCGGCAGCAGGGGCAACACACACAGGAGACGCCCGATCGGCTGTTTTCTGTTCCGCCACTTGTGTGCATGCTGAGCGCGGCGCACGAGGGGGGGGAGGGTCAGGACATCTTAAGACGCCCTCCCACAAGACTCCCGTCCGGCCGTTCAGAAACAGCCATGGACGGGAGTTGGGTACTGTTCACTCCTTTGAAAACTATAATCTTGAGATACTGAGTAGCATAGCCACATAAGTAACTTTTCACTCACTGTTGTACTGCACCAGTCCAATTCCCTGCCTATTCTAATGATTGACTGAGCCAAGAAATGCCTAATAAAATAGAATTTTTGTACTCACTGTAAAAAACTTTGGGTCTATTGAGAGAACAGGAATTTAGATATTTGTGGGTTGTGATAAAACCTGCAAGACTGGACATGCGCAGATTGGCCCTGGTGGCCATCTTACCAAAGCCTGTTTTTCAGCTTGCAGATGTACACTGACTGACATTGCCAGAGACCGCAATGCCCATCAATGTGCACTAAGGATGGCACACGTGAAGGAAACCAACTTAGGGAGTTGTTGGCGATAGGCTTCTCCATCTTCTCACAGTCCCGTGGAGGAACAGAGCTTGTATTAAAATGCAGTTGTCACAAAGGACCTGAGGCACAGGTCAGGGCAGACTGTCGGAGGCTGCAAGTACTTTAAGGGAACCCCCTCACATTGCAGACTCAAAAGGCAAGGGTACTGGAAGTAAAAGTGGGTCTGGCATGACCATTGCTGGTGGGCGTAGTGGACTACCTGACTGTTCCCCTAGAGACTAAGTTGTGGACTAGGTCTGTTAGTCTACCTTTTAATTATTTGCCTTCTGTTGTGCCTACTCCTGTATCGGCAGGGTCTCATTAATCACATGTTAGCAAATCTGTTGCAGCCGTCATATCGATTTTCATGGCACCGATTTCTGCCATGTTGGAAGCATATAATTGCAGTGGGCGTAAGCGCAGTCCCCATCTCTGGCTGTTTCTGACTCCCAGTCAGAGGAGGATGTTGTGTGTTCCATTTCCTAATCAGGACGAAGAATTGGAGGGAAGTGCTTCTTTCGATTCGGAGGATTTCTCTGTGCAAGAAATCCTCAGTAAGGTTATCGCCAAGGTTATGTTACACCATAGCAGTGTTAAGTGTGACAGGTCAGAGAAGCTCTTACAATCCTCCAAATATGGCCCACCCCAAAGTCACAAGTTTTAGTTGCTTGAAGGAAAGACAACAGCCATCGCAGCTCCAACGCAGAAGATGCAAATCTGCCCTGAGAGGATATCCTTCCAGCCCTCAGGATCCACCACTTCAAAGCCCAAGCAGTGGTCTCAGGCTAAAAACACAAGTCTCAGTCTGCTATGTCCCCTAAGCCAAGAGCAGAGTCTTCGCAATGAAGGGACACCCCCACTCTTGTGGGGGAGGGGGAAATGTAAAGTTTACAGGGACTTGGGTTCGAGAAGTGCAGGATCTTTTGGTCCAGTCAGTAACCAATGTTAGAAGCTGAAGTTTTTCTGCTCCCCCGTTGTGCATGCTTTCCAAACTTCCTAGATCTCCCTTAAAGGCAGAAACATTACAAAGGGTTCTTCAGCCGCTTCTAAGCTCGGGAGTGCTCTCCTTTTCCCCATTTTCAGAAAGATTCCAGGGGTTTTTATTCTAACCTGTTCACAGTTCCAAAGCCAAAAGGATGGGATTTAACCCATTTTATTAAAAAAAAAAAAAATGTGTTCCATCATTGCCTCTCTGCAAGAAAGACTTCCTGGCCTCAACAGATATCAAGGATGCACACCTACACATCCCCAATTTTCCTGCCCATCAGCGTTTTCTACGCTTTGCCCTGGGAGAGGAGGATTTTCAGTTTGTGGCTCTCAGGGGTTCCTAAATCCAGGTGGCGTTTCAGCAGATCTCTAGGTGCTGGGGTACACGGGATGTAGATCTTCTCGTGTCCAGATACAAAAAGCTGGACAAGTTTGTATCCAGATACAAGCTCTTTGCAATAGATACTCTTGTAACTTTGTGGGATCAAGCTCAGCCTGATCTATGCTTTTCCTCCATCCGTAAGATAGCCCTAGAAGGGATTCTGGTGGCTTCTAGTTGGCCCAGGAGAGTATGTTAACAGATATCCTACACGTCTGTTAAACCTCCATGGAGGCTCCCCAATCGAGCACATGTTCTGTCTCAGGGTCCAGTCTACCTCCTTGCTTCTCAGTCGCAGATCCAAAGGGAAAAAAGGCTCATTGGAAAAAGTTTCTCAAATAGTATGTTACCAAGCATGGAAAGCATACTTTGCTTGCTGTGGGAACAGGAACTTTGACCCTAGGGTTTCCTCAGAGTCAGATTTTTGCATTTCTACAGTCAGGGTTGGATTAGAAGTCAAGTATGATGAAGGGCCAAATTTCAGCCTTAAAGGTTCTTTCAAGAGCCTTAGGCTTCTCATTTTCTAGTAAGGGCCTGCATTCAAGGGGTTACCCACTTAACATTTCCTAGATATCATCCTTTGTGGGATCTTAATTTGATGCATTCCTGTTTCCAGCAACCTCCTTTCAAACCACTGGAAAAAACTTAGAGTACCTTACTTGTAACGTTGTGTTCCTCTTCTTTCCGACAGTCAGCATTGCCGTTTATTTTCCCAGTTGAATCCCGCAGGGGTTTCTCAGTCTCCCGTTCTACTGTGGCACATTGGATTAGACAGGTAATTCTTCAGGATTATTCTAGTAAGGATGTGTCCCAACCTTTTTCCAATCAGGGCTGACAGCAGATTTGCAAGGCGGCTGGCTACTTGGTCGTCCACACATACCTTCACTAGATTTTATAAAGGTGAATGTGCAGACATCAGCAGATGCCAATATTCACCATATGGTACTGCAGGTGGCAGAATAGGTTAATTCTATGCTGTGCACACTAGTGGTTATGGTGCGTTCCCACCCCTAAGTTATTGCTTTTGGACGTCCCATCAGTCTTGATTTATCTTGTACTATACGATAAAGAATGCAGGATTTTTTTACTTACCTGTAAACCTTTTCTTGGAGTACAGTACCCTAGCCTTCATGCCCTCTATTGCTTGCAAATATCTGAGGTAATGGGAGGAGTTATATGGGCTCCAACCTAAGTTGGCAAGTGTCCAGTCAGCTGATTATACCGCTATAACCCTTCCATCTGGATTTCTCCTGTACTCCAAGAAAAGGATTTTACAGGCAAGCCAAAATACCTAAGTTCTCAGTGGCTCACAGACCATCTCCAAAGCTTATAGTTACTGAAATTGGGTGGCTCTCTTTGTCAAGGCACACTCCACGGGATCTTTTGGATGTCCGACAGTATCTGAATTCCTGTGTTCCTAATGGACACAAAATGAAAAAGGGTTTTTGAACTCCCCACAAATCTACATAAAGCCTGTTTTATGATCATGCTCTTCATACTGCTTTGCCACAGAACTAAGACATGCTGGCAAGTGTTTAATACTGTAGGTGGCAGTATAACCCAACAGTACCTTAATGGCAGGTGTCCCTCAATAGACAAAAAAAAAACCCTTTAATTCCAGGTGGCAACGCTAAACCATGAAGAAAAGTCCAAGTGGTGCGTACACATGTAGAGACAAGAAAAGCCTGACTGAGAAAGCATTAAGTGTGTTACAAAAATCTTGATATTAAACTAAAAGAAATAATAAAAAAAAAGTGCCCAAAGCTAAACGCACAACAAATACATCTCTTAAATTTAGCACAGGGAAGACGACTTAAAAGGCTCCAACAATCGATTTTTCTAGTTGGACACGGCCAAGAACTGTCTGAAAACTAACCAGTTCATAACCCTTAAAAGTGGCATATTTAAAAATTATGTTACAGTATTTTTAGGACTCCAAATTCTTTTAAAATGTAATGGAAGGGAGCAATAGCTACTTGTCAGCAAGATTCTATATTAAAGGAATCTTGGTATTCACCTGCCCAGAAAGTGAATCATGATCATGTAATCTGAAGATTTCATGCTGTTATGGGAGGATGGACCCCCAACTAGTCTAATATTCAGAAAGTATTCCCAGAAATGAAAGATACTTACATCCACTGGATGTTGTTTTTGGATTTCTTCTTTATGAGATGAATACCTTCTAATACATTGGTGATATCATAAATTCTTCTTTTCTGCACTTTAAGAACCTCCGCAGCTCTGTTAAGGTCCACAACTCCATCAGAGGACTGGCTGAGTAGCTGAATAAATTTCTTTGTCAACAGCCCGAGTGAAGTGTCATAACGAGTCTTTTCCATAGGAGACTTTGGAGCTAAAACAAAAACAGAGGGATAAACATTAAGGGACAGATTTTTATTTTTTTTTAAACTGCAAATCTGCCAGTCTGCAAAAATGTTCTGCAGGTCATCCAGGCCAAAGTGTTTAGATCGATTGATTCTCCACCTGAGAATGTTTGAGAAAAACCACAGTGACCGCTTTATAAATAGACCCCTACGTGTCAAATGAACATGTAAGCTTGCATTCTGAGAAAAACAAAAAAGGTACTAGCCTCTTCAGCTGTGTGACTAAAAATGTCATTAGGGATTTACCAGCACAATACACCAGATTTACCAGCACTATACACAAGATGAATATTGAGAACTATAGGGTGACAGTTACAATCATCCCCATAGTTAGAGACGATGTGCAACATTGAAACTGTCACATGTTGGCTGTATTGATCAGGAAGGGAGCTAAAACATACTTGCTCGCTTACTTTCCGATCATCTTCCCTCAGAGAGCAGTGACTTCTTGTCACCGCTCCCTGCTGGGATTCCCCCCCCC